GGTGCTTTCCACTTACTTATTTTCTTTAAATTTAAATTTATTTCATTCTTTGTATTATTTAATTAATATATTTCTTATTCAATTACTTAATCATAATCAGATAATAATAAGACATTCAGATATTGTTTTATATTCATATTATTGTTTGTGTATATTTCTGATTTGTTACCTTCAAATAAGTTATTACTATTTGTATTGTCTTTAACCATCTATCTAACTTCTATCATTTTTAGTAGTTACTTTAAATTTTTTTACACATGTTATGGTTATAGTAACAAGTAAATCACAAAACATTACTAATATAAAAAAACAATAGTTATTCATTTTAAATAATAATTGTTTCATTTAAGAAAAAAAGAAGAACTTAAAAATAAGTATTATTTTATGTTTCAAATAAGTTGGACGTTTATTTGTTTTCTTTTTCCTCTTTTTTGTTTAACAACATACATTTCTCTTGATACTGGATTTACACAATGTCATTCTGATTTTAATCAATTAAAAAGGATTGGAATCTATCAATTATTAAATCCTCAGATTATATCTAAAATCTTATTACTTATTATTTTGGTTGTTTGTTCTATTCGTATTACTCGAGGTTTGTTTTATTTTTATAACAAATGGGTTTTCTTATACAATAAATCAATAACTTAGCACGTGCTATTGTAATAATATCTATTATTATTGAATTTTTAAATGCTTATATACTTTTTAGTAGTCTTTATACTTTAATTATAATTAGTAAAATTTATATGAATGATAAAAAATGTTCATTAAATGAAAGTAAATACAATGGTATCAGTGGGCATTATTTTACTTACATTTACTATTTTCAAGTATTAACTCACTTGGTTGATTCTATTTCATTAGAATTAAAAAATCCATTTTTTATGTTTTTTACAACAGAAGTTTTTCAGGTTCAAAGAATTAAATTTTTTGAATTTAACTTCCATCCATTCCAAAAAAGTAAATCGTTTCAAAGTGTATTTGGGATGATACTTTTCTTTGGTTATATATTATTTTCATGGGGAACTCTTTTTGATACATTAATTATTGGATATCATACTCCTCGTCAAGTAATAATTGGAATTGTTTTAGGGATTTTATCGACTTTCTTATATCAGTTATTCATTCTAATACCATTTAAATTTCAAAGCTTATTAAATTCTTTATTTCTTATTATTGTAACAGGTTGTTATTATATATTAACTCATGAAGTTTTAAATGGAATAGAATGTGCAGTAGCTATTACTTCTTTAGTACTTACTGTAGTTATTGAGTATTATAATAATTACCAACATATAAACACTACAACAATGTTAATTTGAACATTAAATCGATTAAAAATTTATTGAGTTATTTTCACAAGATTCCAGCTTCGGTTAAAGTTTTTCTAACTTCTTTTGTTAATTTTTCAAGTTGAAGATAACCTTCTTCCATAACATTTTGAATTTGTGCATTTTCAACTTTCATTTTATTTTTATGAATCATAAGTCCTTCTTTTGAAAGTGCCATAATTCGTTCAATAATTAAAAATAATTCTGCTAATTCATTTTCTTTATATTTATGAATATTTTCTTTTGACAAAAAATATGTTAGATATAATCCAATTCCTCCATTTACATTAGCACTTAAAATACCCATTAATAATCTTTGTAATCCACTTACAGAAGCATTTTTATCTGATTTTAATTTACAGATATCATTATTAAGTCCTTGAATCATCATATCGACATCTGCAATACCAGTTTCTACTGGAGATAATGTTATTTCAGTTTTCTTAATAACAGCTTCTCTTTCCATAACTGATGGGAAATATCTATACGTTGTAATAATTCTTCTTGTTTTTACTACTTCTGCACCTTTTCCTTTAGCAATTTCATTTACAAATGTATTACATTTAACAAAGTCATTACTTACTCTTCCATCAACAAAACATTTAACATTATTTAATATAATTACAGGTTTATCTCCATTTGGATCAATTTGTTCTTTTTCAGCTTCAGCTTCAGACATAACAATAGCACCTGAAGTTTTATGTAAAGTCTCTAAATATTGTTTAAATTCAACTAACTTTTGTTTACTCATATAAATATATTCATTATCACAATCTAAAATTATTTCACGAGAATCAGTACTTGACACACTATCATTATCATTTACTGTCTTTTGTTTTATTGAAGATAAAGCTTTTTGTGAATCGACAATATTAAAAATTTCATTAGTATCATTATCACGATTTTTAAATATTTTACCAAGGAATCTTACTGAATAAAAATAAAATGGTAATGAAATAGTTGTTCTCATTTCATAATACATTTTATGAATCATTTTATGTTTCTCTGCTAATGCATTGTACTCATGGTTATTTGCAAAATATGGAATTATAAAATTACATAATGCAATTGCAAATTTCCTATGATCAGCTTTCTCAAACATTTCAATAGCATCATCAACTGCTGAAACAAATGAATTAGTGTTATCATCAAGGACAGTTGATGATAGTCCAACAGATGAAGTTTTGTAATGAAGAAAATCTTCAGTAATTTCTCTTAAATAACTTTCTTTAAGAATTATACCACTTGGCTCAATAATAGCTTTATAAATAAAATAAATTTCATGAACAGCAGCAACTCCAGCTTCCATATAATTTTCTAATTCTTTTTGTTTCATATAAATTGTATTATACCATTTTAAATGGAAATAAGGTGATTCCATTGAATTATCTGCAATACTTAAATATTTTTCCATAACAACATCATTACCATAATTCTTTTCTTCTAATTCATTTAGTTTTTGTAATTCACATAAAATACTATTTGTTTGTCCTTCTAAAATCTTTAATTCAGAAATAAATTGATCACTTGAACTTTCTTCTTTCTTTTCCATTGGAGTTTTCTTTCCAAATCCTTTAAGTAAAGAAGAATATCCTTTCTTCGTCTCTTTTAATTTTTGAAGGATTTTAAAATCATCATCACTTATAACATCAACAACATTAGAATCTATCTTTTCTAATTCTATAATTCTTTCACATGCTTTTGATACATCCTCTTGATAATCATCTCCCATTTGAATTAGTTGTATAACTCTTTGTAATAATTTTTTATATTCTGTTTCTCGTTGTTCTCTATCTGTTTCTTTTTGGTATATATCTTGCATTTCTTGAATTTTTCTTGCCAATGAACTCTTCCAATTATCTTTTTCAACATATTGTTTAAATAACTCATCAAACATATATTTCTTTTGTTGTTTATTCTCAGCATCTCCATATTCTGTTTTAACAAATTGACTCATTTTTTCAATACTAGTAAATTGTTTCATTAACTCATTTGCAACAAGTATTCTTTGTGGTAATTCTGAAACACATTCTACTGGAAAATGAATAGTTTCATTTACTTCAATACACCATGCACAAATTTTTATTAATTGCTCTGATGCTGCAAATTCAGCATAAATATCTTCTTTATGAATAATTTCATTTTTATTTAATCCATCTAATATTGTTTGTATTTCAATTAATTCATTTAATAATGAAACAGCTTTTGGAAGAATAGTTTCCCATTGAACAAAAACAGTTTCCCATCCTGGCATTCCATTACATTGAAGATCTTCTTCTTTCATTTGGCGGTGTCTTCTATCAATATTGTCTTGCATTAATCTATATTGTTGAAGGGTATATTCAGCAACTTCAAGTAATGTTCCTTTTGTTTCAGCATCATTTTTAATTTTTTTATATTCTTCAGCAATTTCTAATCTATTTTTTTCTTGTTTTTCAATGAAATTCATTGCTTGTTCGTGTGTAGAATTTTTTGTAGATGATTCTGCTTGTAATCCTTTTAATCGAATTTTATTTAAATCAACAACCATTTGCATTGCAATCATTAAATTTCTTTGGGACAAATCAAATTTACTTCCAAGCTTTTCAATTTGTTTTATTAAATCAATTAATGTAGTTGTTTGTTTTTGTAATGACACTTGCATATTATTTAATGAATCTATATCAACATCTTCTTTTGTAAGTAATGCAGTTGCATCTCTCATACTAACCATCCATTCAGAAGCTAAATCCGATGCTTTACGTTCAAGAATAAATCCTTGATCCTCTTGTTCAACTAATGGAATAACTTCAGTACATAATTTGTTAATTTGGTTGAGTACTTTACTATTTTCTGTCCATATTTCTTTTAAATACTCTAGTCCTCTTAATACACATCTTCTTTTACCAACTGACTGAATTTCTTTTTGAATAGAATTAACTAGTCTTAACTTCTCTTCATCACTAAACTTAATCCATGTATCTAATTGTGAATCAATCATCTTATTTGACTCAATTACTTGAGTTTGGTCAATAGAAAGTCGTTTCTTTGAAGCAAAATCTTCTTTTGCCCATTTTCCTAATAATTCAATTGCTTTATGAATAAACCTATCAGAGCCTTCATTATTAACAGAAGAAATTGATTCATTTGAATGAAGATGAAGATCAAATAAACTACTAATAATATGAATTTGAGTAATTCGTGTAGACTTATCATTTCTCTCATAATCCTTTTTTGTAAATAAATAGAGAGTAGCAATAGCCTCTTGTCTTAGTGGAGCAATTTTCTTAGTACATAAACAAATTAATCCATTAACAATATCAAAAGCAAGCCTCGAATTACTCTGGAATAAAAACTCTGTTTTTTCTCGAATAATAAAACGAATATAAGAAAGGAATAATGGATAATATGTATTTGTCATACACGTATTAAACAATGACTTTCCTAATACATAAAAAAGTATAGAAACAACAGGAAGGTCATCCCGAGTAAAATACATTTTAAAAATAGTGTCGACAATTTCTAATGCAACCAAATTAACGTTGTCAATAATCATTTCATTACCAAGTAATAAATCACACGAACTAGTTAATGAATAGACATAAGGAATAGTTCCTAAGTCTTTACCTTCACATAATTCATCTCTACTCTTTCTAAACATATCTGCAAATTCATTCATAAGAAAAGTTTTATTGTTTTTTAATGAACCAATAACATTAAGTCCATCTTTAGTAACAGTCAATATAGTTTTGAGTAAAGACTGATTTGTTTTTCTAATTAAATCAGAAAGTGTTTGATGTGATAGATTTTTAAATACCCAGAAGAATAATAAATAAAGTATTTGTAAATAATTTCCTGAAATTTCTGGTGATTGTTCTAACACTACTTCAGAAGAATTTGTTGTACTAATATCATCCACTTGGGTATGAGTAGTGACCACTGTTTGAGCTCTATGCCATCTACTTACCATTCTTTTATACTCAATACAAACATAATTTACATAACTAAAGTACATTTCAGCAATACATGATCGTTCTTCTTCACTCCATCCTCTATAAGTATCCATTTTAATGATTTGCTCAGCTAAAACCATCAATGCATATTTACAAACGCTATCATCTCTTGCCATTGAATCAGTTAAATGTTGAACAGTAAATTCAACAAAATAATGTTTATTGAAAATATTTTCAATAAATTTAGCACAAGATGTCATTGGTGAAATGGTAGGAACATTAATTTCATAAAAATATACAAATTGATGTAAATCTCTAATAAAATCAATCTTTAACAATTGAATAATTTTCCAAGATTCATCACTTTCATTACCATATTTACTGTTTTTAGGATTAAATAATGTTGCACTTTTCTTTTCATAAAAACATGAAAGAGTATTAATATAAGATTCTAATGCTTCCATTGTAGTTGTTCTTGAATAAAATCTCAATAAATCTTTTAAAAATTGACCTATAATATAATTCACATAATTTAAATAAGAATATCTTTTAGATTGAACTGATTTTCTAATAAAAATAGCTAATTGTTCAAATAGATTAATTAATTCAGTTTTAAATTGTGTTGATATTTGTGAATATTGAATAGCAATTAATTGAAATCTATTTTCTTTTTCAAAAAGGTCTTCTTTTTGCATCCAAAACAATAATGATTTTATTATAATTTTTAAAAAGAAGTTAAGATGTTTTGCAATACTGACATGAATACCATTTACTGAAAGTGTTGCGACTAATGACCTTGTTAAAGAATCAAATATCATTTCTTTTTGAGGTTGAGTAAAGTCTTCTTTAAATTGTTCTTTTACAAAAGACTCTTTTAAAGAGTCATCTTCTACAGCATCCATTAAATGAAGCATTGATAATACCAAATTTTTTCCAGACTCGATATTAGATATTTCATTATTAAATAATTGTAACATTAATTTCATTAATAATGGGAATGAATGAATTAATTGATTTTTATATGGTTGATTCTTTTTAAGTTGAGAGAATAATTCTAAA